TCCCGAAGCTTTCGACCTACACACTATAAACGAAGCAAAACCGAAAAAACATACGGAAAACACAAGAAAAACCAAGATAGAGGAAAACACGCAATAAACTACAAAACGAGATAAAAACTAACTAAAAGACCTAATATGGGGGAAAAAGAAAGGAAAAATAACAAGAAAAAATGGAACAAAAATGGGACAAACACTAACTTCCAAATTAGAAGCTATCGGCTTTCTCTACTTTGAAAATGGAGCTATCGAAACTCCCTAATTTCCAAATTAAAAACCCTAAATTTCAAATAAAAAACCCCTAATTTTCAAATTGAAAAACCCTAATTTTCAAATCAGAAGCTATCGACTTTCTCTACTTTGAAAATGAAGCTATCGAAACTCCCTAATTTTCAAATTAGAAAATCCTAAATTTCAAATTAAAAACCCCTAATTTTCAAATCGACAACCCTAATTTTCAAATCAAAAAACCTAATTATTAAATCAGAAGCTATCAACTTTCTCTACTTTCAAAATGAAGCTGTCGAAACTCCCCATTTTCCAAATTAGAAAACCCTAAATTTTAAATAAAAAAACCCTAATTTTCAAATCAGAAGATATCGACTTTTCATAATTTTCCAAATGAAGCAATCGACTTTCCCCAATTTTAAAATCACAAGCACGACGCTTCACTTGACCAAAAATCCTATTTTCCAAAACACATAGCATAAGAACCCTAATTTCAGGAATGCAACTATCGGCTTTCAATGTAATAAGCTTTAATCGTCGAGGATTCAAAAAGTACCTTATGCGCCACTGATATATGTCTTCGAGAAGAAAGAATTTCGTTGCACAGAGAACCCTAGATTTGGAATATCGAAGAATACTCCTCAATCGGCTTCAACATTGAAGATAAATAACAGATCTGTTATGCGCCATCGATACTTTTACAAATTAATAGTTGAAAATCAGCAAAATTTTGGACAACCGTGGTGAAGAAATTTGGGATTTTTTTGGGGAGAGAGAGAGAGAGAACGATTTCAAAGTTAGAATATTTTCTGTTTCAAATGGGACTGACTTCTCAAATGACAAGGGCATAACGGGATGTTTGACAAAAATGTAACGGTGTTAGCACCCATACGTAAGTTGGGGAGCGTATGCTGAGCAAAGTACAATACAAGGGGGTATGATGCAATTTTTAAAATACAGGGGGATAACGCGCAGATTTCGTATAATACAGGGGGGTTTGGTGCAATTAACCCATATAAATTTAAACTCCCACTAACAAATAATCTTACCACCTTTTCAAAATTAATTATAGTGTTGTTCCCTGTGGAGGGGGCTCTCATGTTAAAGAGACTCTCTTGGTTCATTTCTTTATGTCATTGATAGTTAGAATGATCCTTGTAACAAGCTGGACACCAATTGTATCTTGCTTGAGTTTATATATTAGTATTTGTCGTTTTGAATAAATATACAATAGATTATTAGATTTCTTTTAAAATATTGTTAATTTTTTTATTAAAAATATAGATGTTTCAAACAAGTATGCAAATTTGACGGTATATTTGTTATAGACTTTATATTTATAGATAATATTTTCTTTTGTAATATATAGATATCAATATAAATGCTACCATGACATAAGATTTAACTTAAATAAATTTTACATAAGTAATATTGAATTATAGATTTCTAGATTCAAAAAATAATATGATAAGTGAAATACACCGTTGTGTTTGAATTATGTTAAAGTATATATATATAAACATTTACATTTGGTTGGCTAGACCTTGGATGTAAATGATAATTGTGTATTGTTTTTATATTACTTCATTATTCTTTTTACTCTCGTTATTTAAGATTTGATTTGAAATATGGTGGCAAATTTACATCAAATACATCTTCTTTTTTTTTTTCGAAACGATAGAGATTTTATATATTAAAAGTACAAATGTGCAAAATACAGCCACCAGGTGAATATACGCAGCCAACAGCTGTATATAAAGAGTCAATGACTGAATAAAATGGGAAGACGGTTTAAAGACCGCCTAGAGCCGACCCCAACGGGGTAATACTCACGACAACACAAAAACACTAACACAAAGACACTAGGAAACTAAGGTAGTGTTTGGTTCGAGGGATTTGGAGGGGAGGGGAGGGGAGGGGATGGAAAATTTTAGTTTTCTCTTGTTTGGTTGAAAAATTAGGAGGGGAGGGAGAGGAAAATTTTAAGTAAATTTCCCTCCCCTCCCTCACTTTACGGAAAATGTGTTAAGATGGTGTGAAAATACCATTTAGTCCCTACTTTCAATTGTTTTTTATTTTTTATCTTATTTCATTAAGGGTAAGTTTGTCATTTTAATATTATTTTCCCTTCCTTTAATTTTTGAACCAAACAAGGTTTACTATTTTCCCTCCCTTCCCCTCCTGAATAGTCCCTCCAAACAAGGTAAAATTATTTTACATCACCTCCCCTCCCCTCCCTTCCCCTCCATTAAAATCCCTCCCCTCCCTTCCCCTCCATTGAACCAAACACACCCTAAAAAAAAACCCCAACAGAGTAATACCCGAGTGTCAGATTTCAACAGGATAATAAAGTGACACTCGGGCACTCGGGCGCACAGAGGCCAACGGCCCAATCCAAAAAACACAATCTACGAACACAATCAACATAATACAAACATAGACATAACCTAAATAATATACTAAGCCCTCTTCACCAACTGTCGAGCCTCTTCTAGTCGCCCCAAACAAGCACCGAGCCTAAGATGATCAATCGAGAAAATCTAGCCCACGGCCCACACAAGATCTAGAAACTCCCTAACGGCTAACTAGATATGGACCAATCGACTCGACAGCTTCCCGAATGACCACCACCGGAACAACACCAGGAAACCGACACCCCAGCCTCCCCCCCGCGTATCCCGCGACCACAGCCACTCCGAGAGAATCGGTCGCCGCACTCGCCGGAGGTTCCAGCCGCCTCAACACCAGAGGACGGACCGTAACCGGAAGAAGTCCAGGGCCGCTGATTTGAGAGCTGACAGCCAATAGAAGCCGCCGTCGCTCACCTCTGAAAGAATCCCGACCAGACGTGCGCCGCAGCTCCTCCCCACCATGGCCGACGAACCAGTCGACAGTTGGAGGAAGCCTCTCATGCCCGCCCAGTCGCTCATCTGTAGCCCCGATGTCGTCCTGAGCTCCGAACTCGCCGGGGAAGAAGACCTTCGCCAGTGAAGAGGCGAGCGCCGCTCAATTTATCGAAGACCGAGGGTTTTTAAATTGGGGGATTTTTCTGGTAGAGAGAGAAAATTATGTTCCATCAAATACATCTAATATTATAATTTGTAGGATTTTGAATAAATCACATCAATTATGTAGCCTATTATTTTTAATTTCGTAAAAAAAAATAATATAAGTGGAATTTAGGTTTATATAAATGGAAAAAAAAATTGTTTTAGTATAGTTGATTATAAAAGTTGAGGAGATTGGTCGTAATATTTTCAAATGGGTACCAAATCTCAAAAGTAGGTGCGGCCCGTTCTAGTTTTTCGCGGTCAAGTCAAGCCAGGCCCTAGTCTGTTACAGAAAGGAGAAATTTTTTCTTATTTTTTTTTTTGTTGAGAGTTACAGCTGTAAGGAGAAATTGACATGATGAATCCAATTTAAATTCACATCAACAACATAGTTTTTTGTTTATTAAGGAAGCAAATATAACAAAAATATCGCTGAGCTGAGGTTGCAAAAGGTTTATTAATATACACCGTATTGTTTTTATTATTATTCTTCAATAAGAGGTAATAAATCTATAATTGGACTTTCACAATTTTTAAATTATAATATATTATTAGTGGTTGAAGTAAAAAAAATATTTGGTGATTTTGTTTCCATATTATAATCCGTACAACTTGTGCTATAAAAAGGTGAAGGTTTGATCATTGATCACAAAACATAGCACACACCATCAAGAAAAAAAAAAAACAATGGATGTTATAATTTTGCTTTATTGCTGGATTGTTTTTGTCTTCTTTTTATCTATATATCTTCTAATTCAATGCTATTCTGCATGCTGTGTGAAATGCGAGTGCGAATCTTCAGGAGATCATGACCATGGGCACAATTGAGAAGTGAAGAATTAGAAGACATGTTTTCTTATTTTACAGTTGCTAGTTAATTATTAGTAGTTAGTTATGGATTGGTGAAATATTTTTTTACTTTTCATGTTTTGATAGTGATGACATATGAATAAATAAACTGCGTTTGTTTGTTTTTTTAGTTTCAATAAAGAAATACTAGTACGAATTCCGTGCGAAATATTTATTAATATTAATTAATTAATCTTTATTAAATCATATTAGTACGAATCCGTGCGAGATATTCATTAATATTAATTAATTAATCTTTCATTAGTCTAGACATTTATTTCGGGCATCTGTTAGCCCGAAAAACGAATTTATATTGTAGTTTATGTTTCTTTTTCGTTTTTCGGTTTTTCTTTTTTGTTTTTGTTTTTTATTTTGATTGGAGAGACTCTGTAGACTATTGTATCTTGTTCGTTGATATTTTGGGCCCCCGATGTTGGGGTCCTGATCTATGCACAAGTTGGGGATCCAGCCCAATCCCCCGCCCTGCCGGGGCGTTGTTTGATTAAAAAAAAAACCTAGACAGGTGTTGCGGCGCTTCTTCTCGCCCAATTACCTACTTCGCCACTCCCCCCAAAAATCTTCTGCTTTTCTTGATTCTTCAAACAAAATTTCGAGTTCACTACCTGTTTGAGGAATTCCTTTCGAATCCAGGCCCTAAAAGGGGATCACCAACAAAACCCTAACAGGATGACTGGTGGTCATGAAAAGATTGGCAAGCTATACAGCATTGGCAAATATTTGCACAGCAATGATCCTGATTTTTTTTTAGGAACTAATGTAAATAGGAGGAATCTTTCATACGCGGATTGCCCGATGTTCATATATTTGGGGCCTTTTGTAAGTGTACTTTTTGAGTTTTTCACTGCCGAAACTTCCATGTTTACCATTAACGGGCACGTGATGGGTATAACACTCGAAGATGTGCTATACATTTTACGTTTACCTATTAATGGTGAGCTTGTCCTTGTGGGAGAGAATTCCCATTTAAGTTACATAAAAATTTTCGGGGAGGACCCAAAAAAGGTCAAGATATCCAACTTGAACCGTATTATCTACAATTCTAACGAGAATAAGGAAATGAGGATGATAGCTCTGTTGCTCATCATTATTTGGCATTTGGTTTTGCCAACTAAAAATGGTGATGGCATCTACCCTAGCCTTACCTCACTCTTAGAAAACCCCTACAACACTTCTTCAATTCATGCTTGGGGGGCTGCTGTTCTTGCTTTCCTTCATGGTAGAAAAAAGAAAAATAAGGAGGGTGGCAACTTATGGCTAGTCTTGGCTTTTTTTCTCGTCCGAATTCCAAAATTATGGACGATCCTAGGGGTTGAGATTACAAGGGAGGAGCTCGAGGAGCTTGCTCGAGTGGATTATCCATTGAAATGGATAATGACTCTTTTGGAGAAAGTATCAAAGAATACAAGGGTCAATTACAAAGTGGCTCTGAGGAATGCTCTTGAAAGCCTTGAGGATAAGGATATTCATTGGAGGCCGTACATGACGTGGGAATTACCCGGTGACCTCCAGTTCAATATCGATTGGGTTAGACGGATCAGTCCCATTTTTGCCAACAACTATGTGGTGCATCATGCACCACATTCGCTTGCAAAACAATTTGGTTTGGCAAACAACGTCAAATATACACTGTATCACATCGGAATGAAGGATAATCGGGGATCAAAATCCCACAATTGGACTAAAAAATATGAAATTCATATCGCGAAGTGGATGAACCCATTATTTTTGGGAGATCCACCAGCAGTCCACAGAGAGACCTCCCCCAGTGGAGAAGAAATCCAGCACTCCCCCCCTTGCAGCTCTCCCCCGGCAGCGAAGATCCCCCCTCCTCCAGCTGAAAAGATCCCTCGAGCAAAATATCAAAAGTTGCGGGGGAATAACCTGCCGGCCAAGAAATATGCGTCTTTGTAAGGAGCAAAAGAAAGGGCGTGGCCCAAGATCCTCATGCTGCCCATCAAGAAACTGGTCCTGACCCTCCAGAATCATTTGAGCCAATAACAGATCTTCATCTTCCCGTTGAAGACATCGATAAAACAGGCTTCCCATTGCTGCCACAAAATGATCCCCGCACCCCCATGGACACCCAAGAAATAGAAGAAACAGATTCCGTTGATTCCCCCAGAGTTGCTTTCTCCCAAGTTTATGTACGGAGGAATAAAAGAAAGCAATTGACGGAAGAGCAAGGTGCTCAAAACGTCCTCATTGCTCCCATCCAAAGAAAAGGTAATCAAATACGGAAGCAAACGAAGATATTTTCACCGTCAGATTTTGCAGACCAAGGTGCTCCCATTGCCCTCGTTAAAAGAAAAAGCAGACGCGTGCTGAAGAAAACAAAGAGATTTTCACTGTCTGATTTTGCATGATAGATGAATTTTCAAACTCAGATTCTATTCTCAATCACTGTAAGCAAACAAATGAAGGGTTGTTTCATTTATCTTACGTCAAACAGAGGGTTAGTCCAAATGAATAGTCCAAATGAATACATGAATGTTATATTTTGTATCAAGGGGCACTTCTTCAAAAAAAAAAACCTAGGCAGGTGTCGCATTCCCCCTACCTGCTTGTTAGTGACCTTTAGACGAACGGGTCGTGGGATAGGGGGAAGCTAGATAGGGAATTGGGCTCTGGTGCGGGTTTTAGCGAGCATTTATTAGATCAGATCCAGCAGATCCCCATCTCGGGGGACGGTTCGGATGGCATGAGGTAGAGACTTACATCATCGGTTGTGTTTTCTACTATCTCGGCTTGGGAGCAGATCAGGCTGAGAGATCAGCCTAATCTTCTCTTCGGGGCCATCTAGAGCGACCTTTTCACCCCTACCATTTCGGTGTTCCTTTGGCGCCTCTTTTTGCGCCGGATACTCGTGGATACTGTGTTGCACGCGGGAGGGATCTCCTTCCCTTCCCGGTGTGTGTGTTGTTCTGAGACTGGCCGCCATGAGACTGAGACCTTTACCCACCTTTTTCTAGAGAGTAAGATTGTGAGGAGAGTGTGGGAGTATTTTTGCCACTTGGGACTCAGATATCTCTACCCACCACAGACAGTTTCTTTAAGCTCCTGAGTTTTTTCTCACAGAGCACACACCTTAGACACGTGGGTTTCCTCATTCCTTGTCTGATCCTTTGGTTCACCTGCACGGCGAAAAATAGTGCGAAACATGGGGATATTACTTTTTTGTTTTCTCACATTGTTTTGCAGGTAGAGAGACACATTTCACTCCTCATAACATTGAGCAGGCTCACGGCCCAACACTGGACAGGCTGCACGCCACCACACCGCTACATGGTGGCTCCCCCACCGCCTGTTCAGCCCCCTCGACCCAGAGCTGTTGTTTGGTTTCGACCCGACTCTCGGTAGATCAAGCTAAACACTGATGGCTCTTTTGATCGCCATACCGGAGCTGCCGGAGGAGGAGGCTTGATCCGGGACCACAGCGGCGCCCTCATCACCGCCTTTCACGCGCCCCTTCAGGCCTCCTCGAGCTATGACGCAGAGATTCAGGAATTACAGATTGGCCTTCAGATTGATGCCCACCTTTCTAGCCACATTTGGATCGAGCTAGACGCTGCAGCTGTCGCCATACTTTTGACCTCGGGCCACCAGGGCTCGTGGCAGATTCAGCACCCGCTTATGCGTATTAGAACCCTACTCCGGTCTGTCCATCATAGGATCACACACATTTTCCGTGAGGGGAACGGATCTGTTGACTATCTTGCCAGCCTTGGCGCCACCATACCAGACACACATACATTTCAGACCAACACTGCTCCACTCCGTCTTCGCACTCTTGTACGGATGGACCAGCTTGGATATCTTGCGTTCCGCTTTCAGTAGTTTAGGTCTTTTGCTTTCATTAGTCTAGACATTTATTTCGGGCATCTGTTAGCCCGAAGATCGAATTTGTATTGTAGTTTCTGTTTCTTTTTCGTTTTTCGGTTTTTCTTTTTTCTTTTTTGTTTTTTATTTTGATTAGAGAGACTCTGTAGACTATTGTATCTTGTTCATTGATATTTTGGGCCCCCAATGTTGGGGTCCTGATCTATGCACAGGTTGGGGATCCAGCCCAATCTCCCGCCCTTCCGGGGCGGTGTTTGATTAAAAAGAAAAAAAAACCTAGACAGGTATCGCGGCGATTCTTCTCGCCCGATTACTTACTTCCCCACTCCCCCAGAAAATCTTCTGTTTTTCTTGATTCTTCAAACGAAATTTTGAGTTCACTACCTGCTTGAGGAATTCCTTCCGACTCCAGGCCCTAAAAGGAGATCACCAACAAAACCCTAACAGGATGACTGGTGGTCATGGAAAGATTGGCAAGCTATACAACATTGGCAAATATTTGCACAGCAATGACCCTGATTTTTTTCAGGAACTAATACAAATAGGAGGAATCCTTCATACGCTAGGATTGCCCGATATTCATATTTCGAGGCTTTTTGTAAGTGTACTTTTTGAGTTTTTTACTGCCGAAACTTCCATGTTTACCATTAACGGATACGTGATGGGTATAACACTCGAAGATGTGCTATACCTTTTACGTTTTCCCATTAATGGTGAGCTTGTCCTTGTGAGATAGAATTCCCATAAGTTACATAAAAATTTTCGGGGAGGACCCAAAAAAGGTCAAGATATCCAACTAGAATGTATTATCTGCAATTCTAACGAGAATAAGGAAAGGAGGATGATAGCTCTGTTGCTCATAATTATTTGGCATTTTGTCGTGCCAACTAAAAATGGTGATGGCATCTACCCTAGCCTTGCCTCACTTTTAGAAAACCTCTACAACACTTCTTCAATTCATGCTTGGGGGGCTGCTGTTCTTGCTTTCCGTCATGGTAGAAAATAGAAAAATAAGGAGGGTGGCAACTTATGGCTAGTCTTGGCTTTTTTTCTCGTCCGAATTCTAAAATTATGTACGATCCTAGGGGTTGAGATTACAAGGGAGGAGCTCGAGGGGATTATCCATTGAAATGGATAATGACTCTTTTGGAAAAAGTATCAAAGAATAAAAGGGTCAATTACAAGGTGGCTCTGAGGAATGTTCTTGAAAGCCTTGAGGATGAGGATATTCATTGGAGGCAGTACCTGACGTGGGAATTACCCGATGACCTCCAGTCCAATATCGATTGGGTTAGACGGGTAAGTCCCATTTTTGCCAATAACTATGTGGTGCATCATGCACCACATTTGCTTGCAAAACAATTTGGTTTGACAAACAACGTCAAATATACACTGTATCACATCGGAATGAAGGATAATCGGGGATCAAAATCTCACAATTGGACTAAAAAATATGAAGTTCATATCGCGAAGTGGATGAACCCATTATTTTTGGAAGATCCACCAGCAGTCCACGGAGAGACCTCTCCAAGTAGAGAAGATAATCCAGCACTCCCCCCCTTGCAGCTCTCCCCCGGCAGCGAAGATCCCCCCTCCTCCAGCAGAGAAGATCCCTCCAGCAGAATATCAAAAGTTGCAGGGGAACAACCTGCCGGCCAAGAAATATGCGTCTTTGTAAGGAGCAAAAGAAAGGGCGTGGCCCAAGATCCTCATGCTGCCCATCAAGAAACTGGTCCTGACCCTCCAGAATCATTTGAGCCAATAACAGATCTTCATCTTCCCGTTGAAGACACCGATGAAACAGGCTCCCCATTGCTGCCACAAATGATCCCCGTACCCCCATGGACAACAAAAAATAGAAGAAACAGATTCCGTTGCTCTCCCCAGAGTTGCTTTCTCCCAAGTTTATGTACGGAGGAATAAAAGAAAGCAATTGACGGAATAGCAAGGTGCTAAAAACGTCCTCATTGCTCCCGTCCAAAGAAAAGGCAATCGCATGCGGAAGTAAACGAAGATATTTTCACCGTCAGATTTTGCAGACCAAGGTGCTCCCATTGCCTCCGTTCAAAGAAAAAGCAGTCGCGTACTGAAGAAAACAGAGAGATTTTCACTGTCTGATTTTGCATGATAGATGAATTTTCAAACTCAGATTCTATTCTCAATCACTGTAAGCAAACAAATGAAGGGTTGTTTCATTTATCTTATGTCAAACAGAGGGTTAGCCCAAATGAATACATGAATGCTATATTTTGTATCAAGAGGCACTTCTTTTATNGTAGGTGATAGGCCGTTGTCTAGGGATAGGCAGGTGTCGCATTCCCCCTACCTGCTTGTGAGTGACCTTTGGACGGACGGGTCGTGGGATAGGGGAAAGCTAGATAGGGAGTTGGGTTGTGGTGCGGGTTTTAGCGAGCATTTATTAGATCAGATCCAGCAAATCCCCATCTCAGGGGACGGTTCAGATGGCATGAGGTGGAGACTTACATCATCGGGTGTGTTTTCTACTATCTCGGCTTGGGAGCAGATCAGGCTGAGAGATCAGCCTAATCTTCTCTTCGGGGCCATCTGGAGCGACCTTTTCACCCCTACCATTTCGGTGTTCCTTTGGCGCCTCCTCTTGTGCCGGATACTCGTGGATACTGTGTTGCACGCGAGAGAAATCTCCTTCCCCTCTCGGTGTGTGTGTTGTTCCCGCAATGAGACTGAGACCTTTACCCACCTTTTTTCTAGAGAGTAAGATTGTGAGAAGAGTGTGGGAGTATTTTGCCACTTGGACTAAGATATCCCTACCCACCACAGACAGTTTCTTTGAGCTCCTAAATTTTTTCTCACAGAGCACACACCTTAGACACGTGGGCTTCCTCATTCCTTGTCTGATCCTTTGGTTCACCTGGACGGAGAAGAATAGTGCGAAGCATGGGGATATTACTTTTTTTTTTCCTCACATTGTTTTGCAGGTAGAGAGACACATTTCACTCCTCATAACATTGGGCAGGCTCACGGTTCGAGACTGGACAGGCTGCACGTCACCACACCGCTACATGGTGGCTCTCCCACCGTCTGTTCGGCCCCCTCGACCCAGAGTTGTTGTTTGGTTTCGACCTGACTCTCCGTGGGTCAAGCTAAACACTGATGCCTCTTTTGATCGCCATACCGGAGCTGCCGGAGGAGGAGGCTTGATCTGGGACCACAGCGGCGCCCTCATCACCGCCTTTTATGCGCCCCTTCAGGCCTCCTCGAGCTATGACGCAGAGATTCAGGCATTACAGATTGGTCTTCAGATTGTTGTCCACCTCTCTAGTCATATTTGGATCGAGCTGGACGCTGCGGCTGTCACCACCCTCTTGACTTCCGGCCACCAGGTCTCGTGGCAGATTCAGCACCTGCTTATGCGCATTAGAGATCTACTTCGGTCTATCCATCACAAGATCACGCACATTTTTCGTGAGGGGAACAGACCTGCTGACTTACCTTGCCAGCCTTGGCGCCACCATACCAGACCCACATACGTTTCAGACCGACACTGCTCCACTCCTCCTTCGCACGCTTGTACGGATGGACCAGCTTGGATATCCATCGTTCCGCTTTCAGTAGATTAGGTTTATTGCTTTCATTAGATTAGACTTTTTATTCCGGGCACCTGTTAGCCCGAAGACAGACTTTCTAATGTTTTTTCTTATTTTGTTTTTTGTTTTGCTTGTGAGACTCTGTAGACTGTAGTATGTTGATATTTTGAGCCCCCACTTTGGGGTCTTGATCTATGCACAGGTTGGGGATCCAGCCCAATCCTCTGCCCTTCCGGGGCGTTGTTTTGTTTAAAAAAAAAAAACTAGTTTGAAGGTTAGTTGTCAACTGTCAACGCCGGAAGTCAACGGATTTTCGTCGGAAGTCAACGGTCAACGCCAGAAGTCAATGGTCAACGCCGGAGTCAATGGGTCAAAATAATATTTAAATAATTAAAATAATAAAAAGAAAAGAGTAAATCTTGGCCACACATGATGTACCAAATTTTGTGGCCAAAAATAAATCTCACGTCCTCATTTTAAATAAGTGGATGTATTGGAACCAATCTCTATATAGATATAATTGTTACATTTGGTTGGCTAGACCTTGATGTAAATGATAATTGTGTATTGTATTTATATTACTTGATTATTCTTTTTACTCTCGTTATTTAAGATTTGATTTTGAAATATGGTAGCAAATTTACATCAAATACATCAAATATTATAATTTGTAGGATTTTGAATAAATCACATCAATTGTGTAGCCTATTATTTTTAATTTCGTAAAATATTATAACATAAGTGGAATTTAGGTTTATA